GGGCCCTTGGACCCTTAGGGTATTAGTGTGTAGATGTTGTTGGAGATACCTACAAGTCAACCTTATCAAGTGCAAACAGCTTCAGAGTCCAAGTGCCAGGGGCCACGCAGCAGAAACGGAACCCTTTCGAATTATACGCGCAATATCGAGAGTAGCTCGCAGCTTCGACAGAACCTGGAGCTTCAGATTTTCCAGAAGACTGTTGATAGCGCATGGCACCGCTTAAATACCAATCCTGCGACCTAGCCCTGGCCCTGATCCCAGTTCGCAAGAATTTGGCTTGTGAGGTTTCCAACCTACGGGGCATGGCTTAGAAAAGTGCGGTTTTGTCTATGCAGCTTCATGCCCAGGATTTAGCGGCTTACGCTGCAGGTGTTCAAAAATACCCTTTGGGATATGTTGTCGGCAGTTCAGAACAGGCATCGTATGAAACTGCCAGAAGTTCGAAAAGGACACGGAGGCTAAGTCTAAGTCTTGGAGCGCTTGAAGTACTTGTGCACGCCAGGGGAAATATCTGTTTCAATGTAGTGTGAAATCACTAAGCTCTACGTCCAGACACTTGAACCTGTATGCGTTCCTCAACACCCCGAGCCCCTAAACTCAAAGCCCTTACGCCGTAAACCGTGTTTGACCTGAAAACTCCGGCCCACATAGCCCACATAGCCCTGCGTTGCCGCAGGGTGGCGATCGGGCCATGTCAGCCGTGGCCACATGGCATGTTGCGGTGGTGTTCCTTAGTTGAAGCATTTTTGCCATCTCGAACTTTGGGTTTTGTCTCACGTTTTTGTAATTTGGGCAGTACACCTTTTTCTGTGAAGCGCCCATGGTGCAGGTTAGTTTTTTGTGCGGGTTCAGTTGGCAGAGGTTGCACATGGGCTTAATCTAACTACTTGTAGCTTTCTTTCAGAAGGCACTGGTTTAAGGGTTTGGCCGCAGGTTTTGCCTTTGCGTCTTGCTGGACTTGTTCCCTACTACGATCACGCTTCGCAATCTGAACGCCACCTTCGTTCTGGTATTCCTCTGCTGCACAGCGCAGCTATCTCCCTGGCATGTGGGCCCTGACCTTGACAGGGCATGGGGATACATGGCAACGTTGTGGTTTTGTAGAAGCTTGTAAGCTTAGAGTGGCTAGACTTTTGTATAGTGTTTGTAGCATCTGCATCAAACATGTCTTCTTAAGCATGTAGGCCTTGATAAGGTTTGATTGTGTTGTTCGCTCGGCTTCGGTATGCTGATTCCACAGTCAATCTGAAACAGGTGTACCCTCGCGGGCCTTCATGTCGAACATGTGCGGTTGTACAACTCATGATCATGGCCGTATTTGTGCTACCTGGTACTGACCCCATGTTGTGTCAATTCTTGCAGTTGCTTTTGTGGTCCACCATCACTCGGCTGTAGAGCAGTGCGTAGATCCTGCCTCTAGTCGTGCCCGCAAGAAGAGATTAAAAGCTCAGACAGCCCGTTTTCACATTTGAGTTGTTTGGAGGTCCATGCAGACCGAACTTCTTTGCGTTGTGCCAGTAACATGTTGCATGTACTGATCGATCCAAATGTGGTTCGGGGTATGGGGCTTCGGGCTTTGTGTTTGGGGCGTAGGGCATCTGAGCACAGGCTTAAGGTTTGAAACATTGGGGTTTCCTGTTTTGAGTTTGGGGCTTTGGGGTTTTGCGGCCTTAGTGTAACCAATGCCGATGATGATCGCAACATTTATCCATAGTTTCACTAACGCTCTTAGTCTTAGTATGTCCTAGTCATAATGTTTGGCAGAAATCCTCAGTACCAACACATACTGGATACTGCAGGTCCAAGTTGCGCACAGCAGTAGAGATTCGCATATTTATATTCTAGGGCGTCATGGAACATTTCCTGCACGACATACATGTTTCTTTTTAATATGGGATATCTGGTATCTCGTGTGGTGCAAGATTCCCCCAGGCTTCAACCATAGGGAGTGCCAGTGTGTGAGAGTTTCTAAAAGAATTACATGTTCAGTATGTCCCTGTACGAATTACATGTTCCGTAGGTATCTCTACGGTCCCCTGAGGTATCCGTCTTCAGATGCCGCCATATGGAATGCGATGGGGCTCGTTTCAGTTCTGTGCTTGTTATCTGTTAGCCTTTTGGTAAATCACAAAGCATATAATAGGGTTTTAGGACCCAAATACCATCCTATTAATGGTATTTGGGCCCTAAAACCCCATTATTTGGGTCCTTGGACCCTTAGGGATAGAATGTTCGGAGTAGGACCGGGAGGTTCACGGACAGCACACAAGTAAATGCCGAGTTTGTCATTCCAATTGCTACGCGTATGCCATGAAGATGATTTTTGCCATAACCATGTGTTGTCCTTGTCCGTGTTTGTAAATTTCAGACCAAGGAGTGATCCGTTTTAGCTTGGTCTTTTCTCGCATTCCATCTGTGGTGATTGCTACAACGCCTACGTTGCTGGCCCTCTGCAGCACGCTGCCAGTACTCCTTGTGGCTGTTCGCATGGCCACAGAACACATGCCCGCAGACACCATGATATTAGAGATTATTGGTTTCGTGGTTACTGTTCCTGGGTTGCTGTTAAGGAAGTTAAATTAAGTTACCATAATGGGTATATATATAGTAATTATTAGGGTTTTCCCAGTATGGTAACTTATTTTAAGTTCCTTAACAGCAACCCAGGTTCTTGCAGCTTACTGTCTCCAAGCCATTCTGCAATACCGCACGCAGCGCAACCTTCGCTACAAGAAGATGGCATCGGACTTCAATGCCGCATCCTATCTCCTGCACCTGGGTTGCTGTTAAGGAACTTAAATTAAGGGATTATCCCCCTACAATGGAGAATCAAATGGAAAAGAAAATGGAAAATGAAATGGAAACTGGGGGAATATAGGGATTTAAGGAACTTAAAT